GGCCAGTGATGCAGCATACATCTGAAGTTAACTTAGCATATTGCAGAGCTAAGGGTTTAACCCCAATGCACTATTACTGCCATATGTTCCATTTCTTTCAGGGAATTTCCCAATGGGAAAGAACTCAGACAATGCGAAGAAAAAACATCCAATATCATTTGCCCTACAGCTTTTTACTGTTTATTTCTAGTGCTTTTCCCCTCCTCACATGATAATCGCCTTATTGTAGGGACTCATGCTCCAGATGTGGGAACGAAAAGGACTTGATTTAAGATCCACAGCTTGAGAGAGAACTGAAATGCTTTTGAAAATGGTGGAATTACAAAAAGCAGCTTAGGATCCCAAATCACTGGCAAGACAGAGCAAAGCCTCAACAGTCATACATTAAAAAAAACGACTCTAATAATTTTCTCTCGTGTACCTCAAGCTGAGGACAGATTCTCAGAGCTCTGGGTTTTTTCCAGCTGAGAGTTCTTGCACATATCCCAGCATCAGTGTAACAGGCACAAACATCTCAGTGTTGCAGGGTGAGGCTCCTGTTAATGAGAGGACACCAGGGACTGGACCTGAGCTTTTGTGCCATCCCTGCTGCACGGCTCACCTTCACAGCCTACGGCAATGGGTTAAAATTCAGACTTCTGTAATTCAGGATCAGTTTACCAGACACCAGCTGTGCCTGAGCTACTTGAAGCTTGTGTTCTGAATCATTCTCTTATCTATTTGTAGATAATACAGAATCACGTTTCTACGGTTTAGCTGGAATCAATCAAATAAAAATTATGGAAAAAAAAAAAGATTTGTAAAGGGATTGAGGAAAGGTTACTTTTAAATTACGTTTCAAATTCTGTTCTGAGAGGATTTGGTTATCAAATCCCAGACTCATAACTCACCCTCACCAAGCACACCATTCATTTCCTAGTCAAATAGGATTGGATTCATCTCACAGAACAGAAGAGGAATGGCACGGCATGCCCCAGCACATCTCACAGGTGCTCCTGCAGCAGCAGGGCCTGGCACGGCCTGAGCACTGACCTCTCCATCGCTGTCAGAGATAACAATAAAGGCGTCCACAAAGCTGCGCTTCTTCTTGGCACTGGCTGCACGCCTCTTCTCTTCCTCCTCTTCCTCTCCATCCTGACCTCGAGAGTCAGGGCCCTCTGCAGTCTTCCTTCTCCTTGGCATCCCTGAAACAGAGGGAAAGACCAAAAGCCATTTGTTTCCCTCTCACTTAGATTTCCCCTAATAAACAGCCCTTTCTTTTACTATTTTTAGGCAAAACACAGCAGCCATTAGAACCTTATTACAAAGTGTGGTACATTTAGCAGTACTGGGAGCTACACGTGCTTGTCACCACTCGTTTAGTTAAGAATACTTTATTAGAGCTGATTGCAAAAAGGGTTTCAGGGGAACAGCAACAGACAAGCGCCTCGCCCAGAGCCCTTGCTCCAACAGAACGCGGCTTTCCTCTTCGCTTCAACCATTAATGCTCCCCAGCAAGCTGCCCAAAGCACTGCTCCCAGCACAACCCCAGGCATCCCACCCCCACACAGCCCTGGTGCAGAACACACTTGGATAGGGAGCCGAATCAAGCCAAGGGAGGAGAGGACCAGCATGAGGACAAGAGCAAGTAAAGCAACAACGGCATTCAGTGCTTCCTGAGCTGGAAACCAGGGAGCCCTACGAGGTGGCTGAGCACCATCAGCTCTGGTTTTGCTGGAAGGAAGCGTGCAGGGCAGTGAGCAAGGAGCCCCTTGTCACACACAGACAGCGCAGAGCTGGAAATGCAGCCCGGGTTGGCCGGCTCCCAGACCAATGTCCTTCCCAGGATCCCTCTGCCTTCCTTCGCGAGCACTGAAATAGCTCAACTGTGCTGCCGAGGTCTAAAATAAGAGGCAGACAAGATGCGACAAAAGACCCTGCGTTACACAATGCAGAGCCAAACCCTCTTCTGTAGCATCGCAGAACTGCAAACAGCCGCTACACGTGGAAACGCTGCGAGCAAGAAGTTCAGAGCCACACTGGCACTACAGAACAGGGGCGCACTCCCCTCCCTACAGCCAGGCAGCGCTCGTCCAGGTGGGACAAAGAGAAGGACATGTGCTGCCTCTGGATTGCTGCAGCGTGCAGAGCTTCCCGCACCTGTCTGCTCTGCACACATTGGTGTGCAGACAAAAGATGATGATCCGGTGAGCAAGGATTTGCACTGAAGACTTGCTGAGCCTCTAAAGACAGAATATTGTACGAACTGCACGCACAGCTCCAGAAGCAGCTGCAATCATCACTGCAGTCCCAAAACGCTTGTCTGTTTGGGATGGGAAAGTTAAAACAAGCGCTGCTCTACAGAGAAGCTCTTGCAAAACAAAGCTATTCTGCTCCAGCTGAGCTGAACCCTGGCTGTTGTTGGAATACTGTGGTCACACTTTCTCTGTTGTTCATCTTTTGCTCCAGGTGCTCTCTTTGTCCTCTGCCCACCCGGCTTTGGGGTACCGCACCCCATTATCAGCAGAACACACAGGGGTTTCAGCAGGCTGCAGCCTGCTGCTGAGCCTGGGCACAGTCACCGCTTTTGGAGTCGTCAGTGGCAAAACGCAGCACACAGCAACAAGGAACTGCAAAGCGTTTCTGTTTCGTTCCTGTTAAAATCCGTGCTGGTATCACCAGCTTTCCCCTCCACTCAATGCACTGTGCTAAATAAGAGATCACCGAGCAGTATCAGCTGGAGTTACGATGAGTCACCTACCTCCAACATTTAAAAAGGGGGAAAGAAAAAGATGTAAAAGATGTAACCACACAACTCCCACAACGCTGCTGAAAATGAAGGGAGTTGTGGCAAAGAGCCTCTCTGTGAATGTAACTAAGGGAACAAGACAAGGAGAGATCACTTGTAGCTGTGCGAGGCTGAGTAGGAGAGCAGTAACGGCTTTTATTAGCCCAGCTGATAGAGCTGAAGAAAACAAGCAGCAGAGCACACCCCCAGGTAAGGAAGCGTGCACAGAAGCTGCATTTTACTTTCAGCACTTCTGCAAAAGGACGCTGCTGGTATCCACTGTGCCAGTGTCTGCTTTCAGACAGTGAAAGAAAGCCTGAATTGGCCAAACCTACCTCTGCCCGTTGTCTCCCAGACTCGTTTTCCAATTTTTCACTTTTTATGACTTTAAGAGAATTTCTTTGCAAACGCTCTGGCAGCAAAGGTGACCCCCTGACAAGGGGCTTCACACACGCCACGCTTCCACAGGCACATTTTTAGGGATATCCTTGAAGATCCCTAACTTGTGATTATTTGTCATTTTCCCTCTCATCTATCATTTTGATGAATCAGAAAGCAATTACCGACAGAATAATTCTAAATCTTGACACTGCAGCTCCAGACCTGCCAAGCTGTGACAGCTTGAAAAATGCTTGAAAACAGAGCCAAAAATGAATGACTCTCATCCCCGGATGAGTTTTGGAGCCGCTCGAGACTCAGGCTGGCGTGCGGTAAACAACCCCTCCCGCTCACACGGAGGGCCGTGGTGCCGCCAGGCACACAGCAGCGCCGTGCACGCAGCTCAGCGCCACGCAGCGCTCCCCGCAGCCACCGGCCCCGGACTCCCCACGCTGGGAGCAGCTGATGCTCTGCGACGTGACGGCCTGCAGCACCCCGGGGGGACAGGAGGCGCTCGCAGGGCTCGTCCACAGAATGGCTCTTTGCAGGAAGGGCCGCGGAGGCTGAGGGCAAGGCTGAGCCCTGCGCGCTGCTCAGCTCCTCCAAACAAGCCTGTTACAGCTCCGCCTCCTGCAGAAGTGCCCCCCGCTCCCCCAGCGCCCACCGGAGGCACCCCGTGCTCCGACACGGCTGCTCAGCCCTCCTCTCGACCCGCGGCCACACGGATAGGGTCGGGGCTCCTCCAAAAGTGTCACCCGGCGAGCTCGCAGCGGCGTGTCGGAACGGGAGCGGCCGCCGCTGGGCGAAACGAGGGGACGGGCACAGATGCGGCTGCTGCAGGGGAACAGGGCCGGGGCGGCCCCGCGAGGGGCAGGGGGGCAGGATCCAACCCGGCGGTACCGCAGGGGACGGGGACGTGCGGTCCGGTCCCGAGCCCCGGGCCACAAGCAGGCTGCGCGGGCCGCCGCGGGACACAGCGGTGGGGCGATGCCGGAACCCCGGACCCGCTCGGTACCGCCACCAGCCGGGCTCCACAGGCGCCGCCCGGGATCGAGGCGACTCCGGGCTCACCCCGAGGGAAGGGAGCGGCCCCGGGCTCCCCTCGCGGAGAGGCGGCGGCCCAGCTCCCGACGAGCTCCCGGGCGGGGCAGCGGCCCGCAGCACTGCGGAAGGCCCCGCGGGACGCCGCTGGCCCGGGACCTGCCGGAACCCCTCGCGCAGCCCCCGATCTGCCGCGCGGTCACGGAACCGCCGTCTCCCGCCACCCCCGTGCCGCCCCGCGCCGCCCCGTGCCGCCCCGTGCCGCGCTCAGCGGGTCTCTTACCCGCACTCAAGTTACGGAGGAGGCCTCATTGCCCTCACTCAACATGGCGGCAGCGGCGTCGCGTCACGTGGGAGGCGGGAGGGCGGGGCGAGGCGGGCGGCGCCATGTCGCGTGCGGGCGGCGGCGGGGCCCGAAGGCAGTGGGGGGGAGCAGGAAGGAACGGCGCCGCCTCCTTCGCTCGGAGCCTCTCGGGGGCAGCCGGGATGCCCTATTTTATGTCCTGGTCAAGTTCATACGGGGAAAAATACAGCGGTGTCGCATCACTGAATTGCGGTCTTCTAGCCTCGAATAAAAAAAACATCCAACGTCCGTCTCACGCCACGCCTCTCCGCGTGCAGCGATCACGGCGACAAATGGCGCCGCCGCGCAGCCGGGGACAAGGCGAGCCCGCCTCCCCGCCGCCCTTAACCAACATGGCTGCCGCCACCTCGCCCCGCCAGCACGTGCCGCGCGCGGCGCTCCCGCGGGGAGCCGTCCGGCCCCGCCCGCCGTCGCTAGGCGACCGCGGCTCTCGCGAGAGCGACGGGGGTGGCCAAGATGGCGGACGGGGCGGGTAGCAACGGGGACGCCGCGGCGCTGCCGGTGGGCAGGGAGGCAGGTGAGCAGCCCGGGGCGGGGGAGCGGCCCGGCGGGCGGCCCCGGGGGGGGCGGCCGGGCAGAGTCGGAGCGGTTCGGGCTGAGCGCGGCGTGTGTTGGCAGTGGAGCGGCTGATCCGGGAGAACGGGCACATCTTCACCGAGGCGCAGTGCAAGGTGTGCAGCGCGCTGCTCATCTCCGAGTCGCAGCGCCTGGCGCATTACCAGGTGAGCGCCGCGCCGGGCGGGGCTGCGGGCGGCCGGGCAGGGCCGGGTAACGCTGTCACTGCCCGCAGAGCAAGAAGCACGCCAACAAGGTGCGGAGGTACCTCTCCATCCACGGCGAGGAGGAGCTGGCGGCCGGGAAGAAGATGAAGCTGGACGCCAAGGTGAGACGAGGGCCGGGCCTGAGGGGTCGTGGGCTGAGCTGCGCGCTGCCGGCCTGCCCTTCTGTTCCCTTGTGCTCTTAGAAATAAGCCGTGTCGGTGAGTATGGCTCCTGTCGCCTTGCCCTCCTAAAGAACGGCACGTTGCCTCCTACTGAAAGGCCCTCTGAGAAGAGCAGGGGAGCAGCAAACTGCCGGGAATATCGCTGTGTGCAACATCTCATTTCACTGGCAGCGCAGTGCAGGGTGCACGGTTTGCTGGATTTTGTTTTGCACTTCTTAAGTTTTATTTCTTGGTCAGTAAGGAGAACACGCCTGTCAGCTGTCTGCTCCGTGACTTATTTGGGAAACAGATTCTACTTCTGCGATTGCTTCAGCTTTAGTCCCTAACCCTCATAGGTTTGTTGTATGGATGGAGGGCAGGATGAAGGAGGTTGCCTTCATGCAGTGCGAGGCCTAACAGTGACTGCTGCTGCCTGCCCAGCTGGCGTTCTGATGGCCCAGCTGATAGCAGCGCTTGTGCTCCTTAGCTCACACCTTAGAGAGCAGGGGTCAGATCGGCTCCTGCTGCCGTGCAGTTAGCCTTGTGCTGGGTCCATGCAGGCCCTGACATCTCCTCTACCTGAAGTGTTTTACTGAGACTGAGAAAACAGAATCTGAAGCAGGAACACTGTCTGGTGAAGGAGAGGATGATGTGTGCCGTGGAAGTCCCATTCAGTCAAACAACAACAACTTCACATTCAGTATCTCTGCAGATTTAGTTTCTTGAATGCCTTAGAATTCCTCCTAGTAACAAACTTTCCAACCTCAGCCACTCTGTGGTTCTGTGCACACAGGAGAGCAAGCAGGAAGGCACCAATGGGGAGGACAGGAACAAATGTTGTCCCATCTGTAACATGACCTTTTCTTCTCCTGCTGTGGCCACGTCTCACTACCTGGGGAAGACTCATGCCAAGAATGTGAAGCAGCAGTCCCCTAAAGTGGAAGGTAAGTCTGTCTGCAGTGCCTTTGTGTTGTGAAGCTCAAACTAGGAAAATGCTGCATGTAATGATTTTCCATTGTGAGGTGCCACTGGACATGTCATCCTTTTTGTGTGTGTGTGGTCTTGCCTTGTGTGTGTGGTCCCTGAAACAGGGAAAGCCAGCAGTGTGCCTCCAGATCCACAGCCTTTATCAGCAGCGTGCTTGGTAGAATGGCTTGGCTAAATGTTCCTGCATGCAAGGAATTGGACAGAGCCCATTGTTGTTCATGCAGCTGTAGAAGCATCTGTCACAGGATGTGATGCTCGCTTAAAGCTTACAGGGACCAAAGCGACCGGTGAAATGCCCATGAGATGAATTGGTCAGGCCTGCTCAGCTACAGAGCTTCAGTGGTTCAGGGGCTTCTAAACTGCAAACAGCTGGAAGCTGGGAGAGTGACACTGGGAAGTGTGAGTGTGTGCTCATCCTGACCTCGTGCTCTGCCTCCGCTGTCTGCCGTGGCCCATTCTCAAGGCAGGCCTGACTGTGAGAAGCCTTCAGGAAGGCGTACGTGGTCTGGTGTCTGCCACTTCCCCATGAGAGGAGCCTGCAGGTGTGAGCTCCTCTCTGGGGTTTGTGCCCCTGCTGGGAGTTGCTTTACCACGTGCCTTCCAGTTCTGGAGCAATAAGGGAGGAGACTGGAGCAACACGGGTTTGTCTGGAGGGCTAGCTTTCTTCTGGGGCTGTTTTATGGTTTTAGTTTTGGGTGTTTTTTTTTTTGTTTGTTTGTTTGTTTTGTTTGTATTTTTGTTTGTTTGTGTAATGCATGTTTTGGGGAAATAAAACTGCCTTTTTTTTTTCTAACTGACCAAGAGTTTGGATTCATCCCACAGACGTGGTGCCTCCACAGAAACATCCTGCTACCCTCCCTACCTCTACTGTATCTTCTAATGAAGAGAACAAGGACATTGCAGACCCAGACAAGTTCTGTAGCCTCTGCCATGCCACTTTCAACAACCCCCTTATGGCAAAACAACACTATGTAGGCAAGAAGCACAGAAAGCAAGAAACCAAACACAAGCTGATGGCACGCTATGGCCGAACTCCTGATGCACCAGCATCGTCCTTCCTGGGTGAGTTCTCAGCAGGCAGGCTGGTAAGGAGCTGGAGAGCAGAGTGGGAGAGCAGCAGTGTGCATCTGACAGGTCTCTGAACGAGGGATTCTGTGTGGAGGGAGCAGGGGAGGATTGCCCATGGTGAGGATCTTGGTGATGCCCCGTAAGACTGACCTGGTTGGTACTGTAATTCCTTGGCAGCAGGAGAGGTTTTTTAGACTGTAGCTGCTGGTGAGGAACTTTGAGATGTGTTTTGCAATGCTGTCTCATCAAGTACGTGTCCTTTTTATTCTCTGTGCGGATAATCCAGGGATTTTGGCCAGTGCTGTTTCCAGCTAGGTGGATTGCATCCAAAATGGAAAGATAAAAGTGGCATTTGATGCTTAAAAAATGTCTGAGGGACTAGGCAAAGATGGAAGAAATAGGTTTAACTGCACCTGCTGCTTCAAAGCGCGTGAAAGCCAGAGAGATTTCTCCCTGAATGCTTTCTGCCTCTGTGTGGGCACTTCATCTGATGAACTAATGCAACTCCATCCGGAGCAAGCAGGAATGTGGAAAAAATTGAGCTATTAAGGAGGAACTTTGGGCAGACAGTTAACACTCATTTGGTTTATGATCTATTCCTTATGAGTGCTTCTGTATGATGAAAGCCCTTGCAGTCCAGTGAAAGCATTAGGAGCTCACAGTGAACTCCCTTGTTCTTTCTAGCATCCTTCTGTTGGACCAGGAAGTGTGTAGTACCCTGCTGGATGCTTGAAGTATATAATAAGCAGACAAATCATCTTAAAATCTTCTTCAAGGGCTTCTTTCTCTGTCATAAAAATGCCCTTAAGCAGAAGATTAATTATTCTAATTCTTTGCGGGCCACCTTTAGCTACTGGTAGCACTTATGAGGAATTAAACTCAATTATCCCAGTAATATTCTCTCCCACATCGTGTAGTCATGTGGGAGATGGAAAAGGTGCTTCATATCTTGAGTTGCCCATCTGCTCTTTACCTAATTAGCGGGGCCTGATCAATGGTTCCATTTTGTTGTGACTCAGGCTGTGGAGCCCCAGCCCAGGCTGGGTGTGCGGGCAGTGCAGTTGCCACGTGATTGATGCGATTTGTGGAGAGCTTACAGAGCTGGAGTATCTCCATCCACATCTCTGTGCTGCTTAAGCTGTTCCAGGCGAGGTTACAGAGCTGTGGTGTGGTGTGGAGCTGTTCTGGTAGGACAGGCTGCACTCAGGGATGTATTTTCTTGCTCCCTTTGCCTGTCTCTATGTGCTGGCAGCCATGCTAAGCTGGCATGCTCGCATAGTTCTTCCCAGCCCAAACTTCTCGTTCTCTCTTACAAAACCAGGCTTGAAATCAGACTTACACTTTTGTAAAGGCTCTGGTCTCTGAACATACGTTCCCTGTTGGGATCTGGCCCTCGGCAGATGAAGATGTGTCATTGACAGCAGAGCCAAGATGCCTTTCTGCTTAAAGCTCCTCCGGGAGCCATTCATGTGGGGTGCTGGAGTGTTCCCTAAATAACCTGTCTACCTGATTTTCAGCAGGGATATCTTGACCTCAGTTGTGAAGGGAGGTGGGTGTGAGGGCTATGACAGCTCCTCCGGCCCTTCGCATCCAAACCCAGCCGTTCTGAGAGTTAAACGGTGCCCACTGGAGTCTGAAATCTCTGTGGGGCAGCAGCCAGATGGGGAGGCGTCTGCTGTGCCACGTGTGGTGCTTCTCCCTCAGTGGTTATGCTGCTCTGCACCCCCTGAGCGAGTGCCCCCTTTCCCCTTAAGGAAGTGTTTACTTTGTGAGACTCCCAGGCAGAGCCCTTCCCCAGAGAGCCGGAATTGAGGAGCACGTAATGCTGCAGGGATGCATGCCAGCACTTTCCCATTACGGGCTGCTGTGGCCAGCTCTGCTGCTTTGCTTGCTTGTTTGCTATCCGACCCCCAGGACTCTCATTCCAGCAGGAGCTGTGGTGACGCACAAACCACTGCTCTGCCTCCTGCCACTATTGTTAGAGGCTTCTTCTTTTTGCAGTTAACTGATAGCTGGCTGTACCTGAAGGGCCTGAGGATAGAGTTTAGTATTCCCAGCTGGCACCTCAGCAGGGCTTAGCAGAGCACTGCGCTGTGGAAATTGACGTTGTGTATAATCTCCTCTGGCTGCTTTTTCTTTTTTTCTTTTTTTTCTTAATTGAAACATCAAATGTACAGATTTACTGCCTCCCTTGATTTTTTTAGGAGGTGCACAGATCAGGAGAAGCGGGAATTTTGGAGAAAAGTGGAGTTACAGAGGCAGTAGAACATCAGGTTTGGTGTACTAATTGCTGAGTTTTCGCCTCATCTGAAAGTGTGAACTGGTTACATGAAAGGTGTGTTTGGTTTTGTAGATAACAAACCCATGTTCTGATCGGGAAAGGTTTTCTGGCTCTTTCCCTCTTACCCAGAGGCTGACTGGTATCTGGCAGGGTATGGGATCCTGCGACCTCCCTGCCTGGTCAGGCTATTCATGTGCTACTTGCTTTGTTTAGCAGTTATTTAACACATCAAGTGATCGATTATCTCACTTGTTTCTACCTCAGGCACCAAGTTGTTGGCTAGCTGTGCTGTGTGTGTTAACATTGATGTCTGTTTCAGCTGGGAAGGGCTATCCCTGCAACACGTGTAACATAGTACTGAACTCCATAGAGCAGTACCAAGCTCACATCAGTGGCTTCAAACACAAGAATCAGTAAGTAACTTTCTTGTTTAACTATGTCTCTAGCCTTGCTTTTCACACTGTTTTCAATATAGCTTTAATGCAGTTTTGCATGTGTATTTCAAGCTGGCCCTTGCAAACAGAACAATATTCGTGCAAGCTCGTGCTGTTTGTTCTGAAGCCAATTAACTGGTGTAGGTTTGCACCCCTTCAGCCTCTTCAGCAGCTCCCTCTGCAGACAGCTCAAGGATGCTGCTGTAGCAAAAGTGCCTTTCAACTGCTTTCATTTCTTAGAGGTTCAGGTCTGCGTGGCCCCCTGCAGTGAGCACATCCATCGTGATTCTTGTTGAACAGCACTTCTGTAGGAACCAAGATGTGAATTAAAGCAAAGTGTGATGTAGTGGAGGTCTGTTTGGCATTCTGGCCTCTTGGAGCTGCTTGTTCTAAAATTTGGCACGTAGTCAGCACGCTCCAGAAACCTAGAATGTATTTCTGAGCTCGCTCTCCAAACTGGTGATTTAAACAAGATAATCCCCTGCATGCATTGGTCATCTTGTGCCAGGGAAATGATTAACGTCACACGTACTTACACTGGACAATGGCAGAGTTCAGATCTCTGATTTCAAAGCATTACGTTAAGGAGGGTTGATAACTGACCTGGGGTGCTGAGACAGCTGAGGAGCTGGTCAGTGAGTTGGAAGAAAGAGGTATTAGGAAATACTGCCTGAAGTGGTGACCAAATTTCCCAGAAAGACCAAAAGGGAAACTGGAATCTTGCATTGCATACCTGTGGAATAACAGCCCCGTTACACTCTTGAGTATTTGATTGGAAGGCATAAGCCTTGTCTGTCCCTTCGTGAAGGCCAGCTCTGGGAAAGCACAGCAGGATCAGTGGATGACAAACGTCTAGCCTGAATTGATCCCGTTCTAGAAGGATAACACTGAAGGCATTCCCAACATGCATGCATAACCGCTCACTTTAAGGACATGGATGCTGTTCCAGCCAAATAACTCCCTTTCAGAAAGCTGCTTCTGGATTTTGCTGTTAAGTCGTGTTCCAGGCCAGCTTCTGCAGTCTGAAAGGAGCCAGGATACTTGCTTTGTAGTGGAAGCTCTTCATGGTCCTTGAGCTAAGCAGTAGCTAGTTCTGCCGTACTAAAGGTGTCTGTTTACACACACACACACACACACAGAGGGTAAGAAGCCACTCAGAAGCTTTTCTGGCAAGTTGTTGACTTGTCTATAGGAGGCTGCTACTCTGCTGGCAGCCGTGTTTTCTGGGCACTGAGTGCAGCTGACAGATTTCAGAGCCATTCTGACACTGTTTCCTTTTTTCCCTTCTTTTCCTCTTTCTCCCTCCGATGCCCAGGATGCCAGGAGCAGTGCCAGTTGTAGGACCATTCCCACCACAGCAGTATGTCCGGGAAGAAACAACTGCTCCAGGAGGCTACAGTTACTTCAGCCAAGACTTCTAGAGCAAGTTGCAGCACTGTTCTTGGAGTTGTTGACGGCCCAAGAACACGCATCCTTTGCCAGCCCACAATGGTTTCATTATCCCTCTGGATAAGCAAAGCCCTACCCTCCTGTATGCACCCGTTGAGCAGAACAGGGACTGAATCTGTCCGAAAAAGGATCCAGCTGGAAGAGACTTGGTAGACAGCAAATACTTCACTCCCTTAGAGTAGTTTTCATTGTGTAATTGCTTCCTGTAAAGGTGGGTGCGGTGTGAGAGGAAGTGTGTATCTGGTACAAGGAGAGTCTGGCAACAGGCTGGTAACATCTACCTCCTCCCTTACCAGAGCAAATAGTGGATTCCTGCACCTGGAGGCCAGCAGCCCACGCTTAGAGGTGTGAATGGGACACCTTGTGGGTTGTTTGGCTTTTTGCAGACCTAACATAGGAAATGGCAGTGTGGCATCTCTTGTCGTGACTCCTCTGGGCAGGTTTGTTTGCAGAACTCCTTGAGGCACTGATTGCCATCAGAGCCTCTCGCAGTACTGCAGTTCAGGAGTTGTGTTGTTTGGTGTCTGACAGATAGTCATGATTTGTGGTGTGCAGTGCTGCTGGTGGGAGCGGAGGGCTGATAGAGGAGTTGGAGCTCTTGTTTCTCCAGGCAGCTCAGCCCTCTGCTCTGAGGATTTCCACGTGGAAGGAAGAAACAGTTTAGCCTGGTTTCCTATGGAAACAGGTGTATGTGATCATTCACTGTGTGTGTCTTTACCCCTCATAACTTAAAGTAATCTCAAACTTGGCAGTGGTGGAAATCTCCAAGACCCAAATGCAATCAGCAGAGGAAGGTGAGCAGGAAGAGTCCATCTCGGGTTCTGTGAGGGTCTGTGCATAAGTGCAGTGTTTTCCCTACTGCCAGCAAAATATTGATAGGGAAGGAGGAAAAAAAAAACAAAAAGAGGAGGTAAATATAGAAATAACAGAATACTGTAGTATGGCTTGGTTGAATTGTTTGCTGGCTGAAAACCTACAAGCTCTTTGGAAACCTGACTTAGCTCTTCATTAGACACTGCTTGCCCAACCCCTCTCCTCAAAGTCCTTACGCATTTGTACCATCGTGGAGATGTTCTGCCTTTCGAACGTGGAAATTAACGATGGTCTCTTCGTGTTGCTAATGTACTGGATCTGTTAGAAGAGCCCCGAGAAGGAAGGGGGGCCATCTGAGGCTGTTGTGCATTTGGGATGAGTTGTGCAGATGTTCTGCCCTTGAGCTAGGGCTGTGCCGTTCTTTGCTGGCCCACCGCAGGAGCCCTGGTGTCGGCTGGCCTCGTGCTCAGCGCCAGCGCCCCGTGTTGGGCAGCCCATGGCTTTGTCCCAGCCTCAGTGCCTCCATGGAGCTGAGAGTTGGCCAGGCTGGGCCAAGTGCCACTGTTTTCCTTCCACGGGGCAGGAGGACAGACCTGCCTGGCCGAGAGGAGCAGAGGTGATGGACGTGCTGCCTCCCACTGCTGCAGCAGCTGCAGGAGGGCAGTGTGGGGCCCTGCGCTCCCGGTGCTGCGTTCCAGGCTGAGCAGCTGCCGTCTTTGCGAGGCTGAGAGCCAGGCTGGGGGGGCACTTCCAAAACCCTGCGTGCGCTGGTCAGGTTAAGCAAGGAGAGCGAGTTGGTTGTTAATCTCTGCACTTGGAGTGAGTGCCTTCCCTCCCCGCTCGAGGCTGTGCACGAGCTTTGTTTGCCTTCACCCAGCACAGGGTCTGCCATCTCCCCTTAGGACAGGCTCCTGCTGGGCTGGGTTCGCCTTCCTGATGTTTTCCAGTCTTGCTGTAATGCTGAGGGCTGACCTTAGCCTCCTGCTTGAGAGGGAGTTTTGTTAAGCTAAGCAAGCTGATCAACCAGCAGAAAATTGCAGTGAAGTAAAGGAAGCATTGTGTGCCTGGTGGCACTGGATGGCCTCCAGCTCCGATCTCCACTGCTTAGTTCTCGTCTCGCTGCACGAGGGCAGGTGCCTGCTAGCTGTGCTGTGCATTGAACCAACAGGTATCCATTTCCAGCACTGCCCAGTCCAGTGTGTCGCTCCATTCTGTGTACTGACAGTTTTGCCTTCCTCTGTACATGATGTTTGTGTATCTGCTGTTTCCCTAAGGTGAAGCTCTCCAAATAGAGTGTTTATTACTACTTCTGGGTGCTGCTTCTTTACTATAGCCCTTCCTGGGTTTTTGCCATCCTTCAAAGTAAAGAAGAGGGTACAGACCCCTCTGACTTGTTTGGGAGGGGTGGTAGGCTTGTGTTTCCATCTGCTATCCCCAGGCACCCTGAGATCCAGACAGAGCCACCAAGTGCCTTCCTCTGTGCTCCACTGGCACGTCTGCATGGCCTGGGGCACACCAATGTCACCAAGGGGAAGGCAGGACAGTCTGCACACACACAGTGCTGGCGCTTCTGCAGACTGTTGTGTTGCTTGTGCTGAAAACATCCGTCACAGCCACAGGGCACTGGGCCGTTTTCTGGCAGCTGGGGAGCAGACTGATGGTGTGCAGCCACTCCCCTGTCTGCACCGCGCCTCACTGGGGCAGGATGTGCTCCCAGCAAGGCCTAGATGGGTGCCCCCCATTGCCTAGCTGCAGGCTGTGCCCAGGCTACGTCCTGGTACCACACCGCAGCACCCACGGGCACCCAGCAGCACGGTGCCACAGGAGCTTCGGCCTGGCGATGGGGCGGTGTGCTGGGGGAGGCAGAGCACACTGTGGCCCTTTTGTCCCACAGCGGTGCTGCCTGCCCCTGCCCGGGCCCCTGCGGGCAGCACCTGGCTGTGCCGGGGCTGCAGCTGCCGTGGCCAAGCCCCAGCGCCTTCCGTGCTGGCAGCGAGCGCAGGGCGTGGAGCCGCCACAGCCACATCCCCGTGGAGGTGCCGCCATCCCCGGCTCTTTCATTGCCAGCTCTGCAGAGCCTGCCCAGCTGAGCCCCGGCACGGCGCTGGGACCCCTCAGCTGGGGAGGAGCGCAGCCCCATCTGCAGCCCTAACCGCTGCCCTCCCTCGTGGTCCTGCTGTCTCCAGCAAGTAAATCGGGTGCAGATGTGGGGCTGGGTGCCTGCTTGCCATTAGGGTTTGGGAACACAGCGGTGGCCCAGCTCCTGCCTTGCAGCACCCTGCTGCTCCCAGGGTATCCTGCCTTTGAGCCCTGCAGCACGGCTTGCTCAGCACATGGGGTGTGCAGCATCCTGGGTGGCAGCACCCACACAGACTGTTCCTGAGCATGGCATGGCTGTCCCCAGAGGGGCTGTAGGATGCAACTCATGCTGTGCTGCAGGACGCTCCCTGCTTGCCTTGGAAAGAGCTCAGTGCCTGCTGATGAGGGCTTGCTTGAGGCTCACGTCCCTCACTTGGCAGCCCCTGTGCCAGGCCTGTGTTTTCATCTCTCCAGAGGGAACAACAACAGGTTCATGTTTGCCAAGTGGTGCCTGGTTAAACCTTAACCCACCTGCCTGGGTTGCTCCATGGGTTCCTCCCTGTGGGAGATAAGGATCAGCAGGAATGCAGCATTCTGCTCCCTGGGCAGCAGGAACTGAGCTCCTGCCCTGAGCCCACTCTGCAGGACAAACTGTAGGGCTGGGACCTGTGTCCCACAGCCAGCTCCTCCATGCCCAGCAGCCATGCACCCATAAGGTTGGAGCAGGCACCAGTGCGGCTGACCAGCAGGCTGCAGGCTGTGGCCAGGGCAGCGAAGCCAAGTGCTGAGGGCAGTGGGGCTGCACAGAGCCGGTGGGTACTCTCACATGGCTCTTGTGGCCCCGCTCGCTCGGCCTCAGCATCCCGACGCCATGCATGCAGGGTGCTGAGAGCCGGGGACCTGCATCCCAAACAACAGCCGTTCAGGAGATGCCAAGAGAAACTTCCAGGAGGAAAGAGCCCCCTGGGCTCCACCCCCCCCAAGAGCTGCTGGCCGCGCACGCTGGCCGCAGGTGCGACCGCAGCAGGACCGGTGGCGAGCGCTGGGGCCAGGCACAAGGGGCGGCTGTGTTCCCGCAGCCCCGGCTGCCTTCCAAGAGCAATATTGTTGGCACCAGGCAGGCTCCCTGCGCCGGCAGTGCATACATGGGCCTTTCATGACGGGAGTGGGGATGATTTACTGCCGGGGGGAAGGGGCAGGGGTGGGAGGATGGAGCCCCTGCGCCCAGCCCCTCATGCGTGCCGCTGCTGCGGGGCCCCGCACACGAGCGGGGCTGTGGGTCTGGCTGGGCACAGGCAAACATTGGAGATCACTTCTCACAGGGCAGAGCTCCAGCTGCCCCATGCACCCCGTGCCCACTTCTGAGCACCCCCACCTCAGTGGCCATGGGAACGCGTGCTCCTCGTGGTGCCGTGGCAAAGCAAGGTTCCAGGGCAGGGCCGTGCTGTGGCACAGGGATCCGGCACTGGCACAATGCCCCCTTGTTGAGCTGCTGGCGTGGCGGTGCTATGGCGGTGCTGCCGGAGGCGGGCAGCAGGCGGTGGGCTGTGCTGCCGTGAAGGGCTTTTTGTTTGCCTTCAGTTGCTGCTATAAATCAAGCAAGGCAGCCCAAGCCCCCCGGCCCCTTGGCTGGGAGGGGAGCAGCTCCCTGCAGCCCGCACCCCACTGCCCCGTCCTGGCAAGGGACGAGTTGCCGGCACGGGTCCCATGTGCCTGCCTGGCTCCATCCCCACTGCAGGAACCAGGCGGGGATATGGGGGGTCTCGATGCCCATCCCAGGCTCCCAGCACTCTTGCAGGGTTTCGTGCATCCCTCCCCAGACAGCCGCAGGGGATCTGCTGCTCCCAACACTCGGGACTTGGCTGCTGCCTCTGCCTCGCTGGGCATCTCTGTGCCCCTCGCTTTTGGTGTGGTTTGGTTTAAATCGAGCCGAACCCAACATTTTTCTGCGCTTCCGGCACTTTGCAAAGCTCTGCAGAGGCAACTGCTGCTCCGTGAAATTGATGTTCTCGTCCGCTTCACGCATCGGCGGGAATGCGCCGTGCAGAACAGCTGCTGGGGGCTGCGGCGGTGGGGGCTGCGAGAGGGGAGCGGGAGCCCAGGAGGAGAGCGGCCGTGCACGGGATGAGGCACTGCTGCGCCCCGAAGTCACGGCGCCGCCGGATGGGGGTGACAGCGGCAGCCCCGAACGGCGCAGCACCGCAGCTCCGTCGCAAAGCGGCTCCGGGAGGAGCTCCGGGGCTCGGCTCCCGGCTCCGTTCCCGCACGGACCGGAGAAGTGGGACGCGGCCGGGACTGCTCCCGGTGCCGGGGGTCCCTCCGGGGAGAGGTGTTTATGGCGCGGATTAGGGCTGGGCCGGCCCCGCCTCGCAGCCCCGCGGTGTTTTACGACGCAGCCTTATGGGCTCCTAATGGGGGTCACGGCCACTTGATGGCCCCGGCAGCGATAACGCCGCGCTAATTGCAGCGGCGGCAATTAGCCCGCGCGCCCCGGCACGGGA